AACCGAGGTCAGTATCAAGGTTATAAGAGAATATCGAGCATCAACTTTCCAAGAAATTGATATGCGGGAATCATTAGCCCACGCCCTGTTGTGGTACTTCCTGCATCACGCCCTGCTGGAGTCGGGCCGCCCCCCCCCCATACGATCTCGAGAACGAATGGCGTAGTGCGCCGAACGAGACGGCAATCGAAATGTCTCAACGAGACGCATCTAAATCGCACTTAAAATTAGTCTTGGAAGGTCACAGGTCAGGTCAAAGGTCACAATTTCAGGTGTTCACTCTCGCTGCTACTGAAGCTCTTCCATAGTGAATTTGCTATAGCAGGTCATAGTCAGGGTCAGGATACGAAAAGTCTCAAAGGTAAATAATGGAACTGGGGCAAGAAACATGTCTTGTGGGTTATTTTCTAACTCCAAGTCACTGATGATGGTCATTTTACCCTTTGGGCCACGGTCAAGCCAGGTCAGGTCAAACGAGGTCAAACAATGAAGTTGGCAGTTCGGCATCAAACCCTTCTGTTTCAACCCAACCTTTCTGTCAGCATAACACACATAGTTTCCTTACCTCCTCTTCGCTGAACAACCAGGGGAAGCGGTCCTTCAGCCGCTCGAGCGGCTCTCTGGTCTTCAGTAAATACCACCTTCGCACTGCGAACGTCGACTCTTTCAGTTCTTTCTTTCTGTCTTCTGACAGCGTCTCGAACTGATTTTTCAGGAGATACATGTCCTGTAGCTGCGCTTCAGATGGGCTGTCCAGCCCCGGATCATACGCTGGAAGGCCGGCAGCAGCTTGGTGATCCTTTGAAGCTGTAGACAGTTTGATGTGCTTCGATGTTCTCTCTTCGGTCAACTGGGCGTCGGAGGAGGCAAACCGAGTATTCTTGAACTTAGCTCGGATTTTTGCCCGTATGCACTCCTAACAACAGATGAATCATTAAAACACACACACACGCGCATGCACACACACACACACACACACACACACACAATAAACTCTCGCATCGCCGACGGTGCGGGTTGATCATGAACTCGGGGGGGGGGGGGGGGGGGGGAGGCGGATGGAGAGGAGAGTATATATCATAGCTGACATCTGCAACCTAGGAAATAAATATAACGTCTTTTAGGGGTGACGAACAAGCGAGCACAAACGTCGTGTCACAAAGCAACTGCTGAGTCAGTTGCCTTAGCTACAATTTCACTGGATATTTCGTTTTAAGATAGGAATGTCAGTTGTATATCTCACTAACATTTCTGATGATACGATGATGTTTTCGATGCATAATGCAAGCATATAACAACATATTTGACCTTACGGTGGTCAAACATTTGGTCAAACAACATATTTGACCTTCGTAACACTTACGATGGTCTCCCTCATTGTTTTCTTTTTCCAAACGGCTTTCCCAGACGTCTCCACCAGATCGGTCGCCCACCCTAGGTACTGGTTCCGGCCCGGATAGCTGGAAATAGGACAGGATAGGATGCCAGATAGTATCAGAGGGGGATGAAGGTGGGACACAAAAGCATGATATAATGAATATGAACGAACTTGTCTCGATTCTACAAAAATATGGGACATAAAAATATAGTGTGACACATGTACAGTACACGGTACACCCCCTCTTTCAGACGTCATGGTAAGTCAGACCGCCTTATCAGCCGACAAGGACCATCGCGCGAGAGGGGCGGTTGCAGCAATGGCCCTGATCGGCTCAAGCCCTTCAGGCGGTGTTTACGGAGCGAGCGAAGCGAGCGGAGTCTTACGTAGAATAACGGAAATTTCTGAGTATGAGCGGCCGGCCGGCCGGCCGGCCGTGGTCACGATTCTACGACGCTTATATCTCAGCAACCACTTGACCGATTTACATGCGGTAATTTTTATAGGGTAGCTTCATTCCTTCTACCAAGTATTGGACTATTCCCGATGTATGTGGGTGACCCCTTGTGCACGTGCCACGTGCAAAACGAAGAGGTGTCACTTTTGTAATAGTTGCAATATCTCGGTAACTACTGGGCCGATTGCGCTGAAAGTTGGCATGTAGGTAGGCACCCACTAGGCAATGCATATTCATGTGCCAGAGTTGGGGTGCTGCTGCACGTGCGCACGTGCAGGGGTCGATTCCAGATCTCGAGAACGGCTGGACCGATTGCGCTCAAATTTGGTACACGGTTACGGAGCAGTTAGTAGGGTGCCGTGCACAAGCCAGTTGGGACCCATTTTGCACGTGCGCACGTGCAGGGTGCCGCTTTCAGATCTCGAGAACGGCTGGGCCGATTGTGCTCAAATTTGGCACTTCGCTAGAGACCGGTTAGTAGGGTGCCGTGCACAAGTCAGTTGGAGGTAGCCCCTCGCAAGTTCGCACGTGCGAGGCCCACCCTCTCGCTCGCTCCGTTAGTCGCCCCAAAAGGCGTTATACTGGTAACTATCACGGTGCTTGAAGGAGGGTGTACACTGTAAAATATGCACATTGCACATGTATCTATAAACCTGCGCAGCGACGGGCGATATCTAATGGGCATAATACATTAGAGGTGGCAAAATGTGGACCCGAGGGCCCGACCCATAGACACGGTCTGGACCCATATGGGCCCAGACCGGGTTCTGGATGTTTTTGACGGGTCCAACCGGGTCCTACCACAAACCATAATTCTTACATACCAAACCTGATGGCAAAATATGAAGTGAATGGAAAGAAAACATATGCTCATGTTATGTTTTCTTTTCATATGCTTATGTCATGTTATGTTTTCAAGAGGCTGCTAAGGAAGTCTGACAAGATCAGATAGCAGGAGCTGTCAGACACCTCGATAAAACACAAAGCCTTCTCAATTGCAACGAGCTCGGAAGAAAAAACAGAGGCAGAAGATGGCAAAGAGAATGTGCGTGTATCATGACCAGTCACAAAAGCGCAGCCGACACCATGTTCTGTTTTCGAGCCGTCTGTAAAAACCGAGGTAAAACCGCAGATATCGATTTTTCACATCAACTTTAAACCCACCAGTGCAGGCGTAGTCGGATGAGTCGGGTCACGAGAGGACAATCAGTGATCGCACCGGCTAACCGCATATTGAGAGGGAGCCATGCCGCGGCCGGATACATTAGAGTGCAAAGCCGGAAGATGGAAATAAAGTGGTATCCCCATGACTTACAACGAAGTTTTGGTGGCTTCGTCATACAGCGCCTGCATCAGGTCCGACCAGTGTTTCTCGGACAGGGCGTCATCCTGTTGAAGGGCCACTTGACAGGCAGTGGAGAGGCGCGCCTTAACGCGCGTCCAGATGGGAGCCTGGCGAGAACGGCTGAAATAAACGAAATCGTGATTCTATTAGCGTTGTTGATGTTATACAATGTTAAAGGCTATTCACGTTTCGGACTGTGTTTCAAGGGAGTGTCTATGTTTACCTTAACCCGTCCCAAAATGTCACGAAAAGAAGAGTCACATTTGTGTCATGTCAGTCTAACGCATGTGCTATGCACCAAATAATTCGATGGTGATATTGGTTTCGTCGTCTGCGTCTAGTTGCTGTTGAACCTCTTACTCAGTAACATCAGTGGCGGAACGGCTATGCACGAGGAAGGGAGGGGGGGGGGGAATCATCTACTTTAAGCCTCACTCTTTCTATGCAACGGCCATAGGGATAATGTTGAACTTTCACGTTCAAGGGGGACACGGTGGACACGGTGTCCCCACTCCCCGTTCCGCCGCCTATGCTCAGTAATAACGGGGTATAAACTTATATCTGACATCGCCCCTCTAATGACATACAAGCTGTGGCCATTCATAGCGAGTTGATATTTGAAATACAAATGATACAGGAGGTTGTGTATGTTGAGTCGAAGGCAAGACACGCGTACTGCTGCTGTCTCGTGTTAAGCTCTCGATGTCAGAGCAGTTCGTTAATCCGGCACTGCCTGGGCTTTTTCTGTACGGCAACCGCCTGCGGCGGGAACTGTTAAGTAACGTAGGTATCAATTGAGTCGAGCATAAGCCTGTCTCACGTGAATTGCCACACAATTTGCATCCCACTCAGAAATACTATACTTTAACCGAAATAATATTTGCCAATGAGGACAGATCCCTTCAATTCAACGCATAAAAACCTATTGATGACTTACGAATGTCGGTCAGCAGTGTCCCGTTCGTTCGACGATGTGCTTGGGCAGTCGATGACCTCTGTTGAATTGCCTTCGTCGTTCTTGTCTCTCTCTGAGTCATCCGCCTCCGGCCCGTCTCCTCCACCACTGAGTAGGACAGCACTGGAACAATGAGAGGGATGAGTTTTATTTTATCAGTATGGTGGCATTGGCAACTTCTTGCAGACAACAGAAGGTAAGTGCATATCTCAAATTAGAGAAAAACACAGTCATTGTTGTTGAAGCTAATATGATTGATGGCTGCGATGATGATTGTAAGGATGATTACAAAATTGTAGTTGACTGTTGACTGTTCAGTGACTGTCAAGTGAGACCTTGAAATTAGGCATGCAAGTCGGTGCACTGTTATCTATTTTGTTTGGGAAGGGGGGACAGGCTGGATTAGGTAAATTGAAGGTTTTAAACTATAAAGATATATGTGTATAGGTTGGAAAAGTGTGCGTTGTTATGTTTGTTCTATTGGTATAAACGTTGATTTGATAAAATCAAGCCAGGAAGTGCCCTCTCACCCTTCCGCAAGTGCAGGTCTCACTCTTTCGCTCGCTCGTTCTTCGCCCAAAAGGTGTTTTACTGGTATTCATCACTTTGATACCGGCCCAGTGAGAAGATACTTACGCGGAAGGAGGTGCCACTGAAGTGAGCTCCGATGTGGCCGCATCCTTCTTGTCCAAGCCAGAGATATCCAGACCGAGGATCGGAACAGTGTCGGCTGTGCTTACAGTACTTATGGTGTCGTCTGACCCCGGGAGCTTGACGAGCCGCAGACGGCCGCTATCCGGTAGATCCTCGAAATCATCGACGCGGACGAAAACGTCGAAATCAGGATAGTGCAGTTCCAACGCGAACGTTCCCTCCCTGATTGAGAAAGCGTTGATGGCTGCTACGAGTATCTCCGTCTTGAGCCGCACTCTGACGCAGCGGTGCACCACGGCGTCGTGCTCTGTCCATTGCACCACATACGCCAGGCTTGGTCTTGTCTCAGTCATCTGAAACGACATAATAATTAGTAATGATTTGGAAGGGAAAATCGCAATATGAACAAGACAATGACTCTTATCCAGAAAGTGACAATACATTTTGGATATTACGTCCAACCCAGGAGCCGCTTATGCAAAATACTACTTCAGAAAAGTATCAGTTTCTCCGCATACTTTGTTTGTGTTTGCGAGGTGTTTGTTTGCTAGGTTTCAGTGCGCATCGACGTCGCCCATTCGCCCTGCATCCGCTAGTGCGTTGAGGAAGGTGAAGCTGCACATCTCCGGTTTTTTTGCACTGTTCCCAAAAGCGGAGCGAGTGTTCAAAACATTGTGGTTCCGACACGGTGATGGTTGTAATCAGGGCTGCGGAGTCGGAGTCGGAGTCGGAGTCGGTCGGAGTCGACAGTTGTGACCGGAGTCGGAGTCGGAATCAGAGTCGATTTTAGAAACCCGAGCCGGAGTCGGAGTCGGAGTCACCGAAAATCTTCGACTCCGCAGCCCTGCTAGGTCTGCGGAGTCGGAGTCGGTAGTTGGAGTCGGTCGGAGTCGACAATTCTGCCCGGAGTCGGAGTCGGAGCTGGTTTTTGAAAGCCGGAGTCGGAGTCGGAACTCGGAGTCGGAGTCGCCGAAAATCCATCGACGCCGCAGCCCTGGTTGTAATTATTTGTTTTGTCATGCAGCTATCTTCAGAGTTCGGAATTAGTATTATGCAATACCGAAAATTGCTGGAGTGTATACTTTGTGATCAAGGACTCGCTCGTGCGGGCTGTAATTTTACTAATAGTAAGAGTATGCGTGACATGGATCAGACGATGGCGATACTGTTTTTGACTCCTCAATTCATGTTCTCTGTCAAGGTCAACAACAGCTATCTAACAGGCAGCAGCTCCCTGGCTATGACTCACTTAATTCCGGATTTTTTTTCAGGTACAAAGAAAAAAAAAACGTTGACGAGCATGCCGGTGCCATGCCGGTATTTGACAGTATTGCGATCAGCAAAATTTCGGGGGGGGGGGGGGGTGACGGTAGAAAGTTCTGACCTTTTGGGAAAATTTTCATCTCTACTCCCAATACAGGGTAAATAATTGTAACGCCTCCCAAGAGTCACGGAGTACCTCAATGGATTCAGACATGCAATGGCATCGATGCCTTGGAACACCGCCTTGAACATTATGATTTAATGTTGCCAACATTCAGATTGATTATCATGGGTTATCAGGGATAAGCTATCAAGGGGCGGGATCTGGTCAACATGAACATACCTTGATTTTGATTCCGGCAGGCAGATTCATAGGTAGCTCGGGGCGCCAGCGTATGATGCTCTACAACGTATCGACCCCCGTAGAGATGAAGGGGGTGGTAATCTGCGAGCTCCCCGTGTTTTATGACAACTTCATCCTCGGTCTTGGTCACATAGAAAGCCCCTACATGGTTGTCAAAGTCAAGTACTTGAAGACGCTTGCAGACAAATGAGTAGTCGTCATGTGCTCGCTGTACATACACGATAGCACCAAATTGGACATCCTCATTTTCAGTCACTGCTACAACGTCTCCACTTCTATATGCGGTCCCTCGTATGACTACCTTTGTTGACCCCGCGACACCGTCACCATGCTCATGAATCCGTGAGGGACTGAACGTGTCTTTCCATGAGAAGAAGTCTTTAGAACGCAGTTTCTCTGCCATCCACTGTTGATGTTTTTCGGCTATCGTTTTGCACACATTCTTGTAGTTTTTTGAGGTAGCCAAACTTTTTTTTAGAGCCTGATGCTTGCCTTCGAAGCGGAGAGTGGTAATTCGGCTCAATGCACCATGCTTTTTTATTTGATTAGTGTAATGCAGAATATAATGCAGTTTTGGAGTCACTCGAATGCCTTGGAAGTGATGGAGAAATGAAGCCAGCCAAGACTCAACTGCTGCCTGGATGCTTCCCAAATCTCTCTCGTTGACTTTGGGAGCCGCAAAGGATCGGACGATCGCGACGAACGACAGAAGAATGCTCCACACCGGAAGATCTCTGGGTACTTTATAGCCGATGATAAGCGGTAGGAGTCGCAGGAGATTGAAGGCTTCTTTCGCGGTCTGGGTGCACCTGACTTTGCCGCAGTTCAGAGACACAGGTTGCGGTTTGTTATGGGCGTCGTTTCTTGAGTAGGGGAAGTGGGTGATGTTGGTGTTGATCTCAGACAACGAAACTATTTTTAGCTTTATCAGCTCCCCTAAAACCTTGCCAATGACCAGAGGAACCACTCCTTCGTAAAGGTCGTGTGCGAGATCAGGAGGGGTGCACTCAATTATATGGAAGTGTCTGAGAGCGTTAAATCCACATGTAGCTTTGATGCCATACTCTTTGCAAAGTTCTCGATCAAAGTTCCTGAGTTGTAGTTCCTCAACTCTTGCGTCGTATTCCTCAACTGTTTGCAGCCTGCATGAGGTGGCGCTCAGGTTGATCTGTATGTCATCTGATGAACAGTTACAGTACCGAGACACTTTTTTCCCTCTGCTGAATGACTCGAAGAAGCCGCCTATGGAATGTACGGCAAGATTGTCCCCCACGAAAAGAGAAAGGAATCCCTTCACCAGCACCGGCCTTGGTCCATCTTGCACAGAAATGCCTGTATCTTCCAAACGCTTCAAATCTTCTACGATAGTACTGATGATGCGAGGTCCGTGTTGTCCTTTCAAATAGGATGTTTTGAACAGGGCCAATAAAAATATGTGTCGCTTTCTGGATCGGAATGGCGTATTCCCAACAGCGAAGTAGAATGCTCCCAGCTTATTTTGCTTCACCTTGTTCCCTACGGGATTGACCACATTGAAGTCATCATAGTAAATGATAAGAGAAAGCCCGTCTTCACGTCGGTGGTTCTCGCCTGTTTTGAAGTCTGCAAAAACTCGTTCGGCGTCGGCAAGGTCACTTAATCTCTCTTTTAAGCAGGCACTTTTCAGCTCATCGTGCTTCAGCAGCTCGGATAGCTGTTCCAACAGCGGCACGTATTGAAAACTTTGTTTCACGCCTTCAGATGTCACTCCCAGATGAATAGTTCTTGATTTCACCGACGTAGAAAGAAAAATTTGATGAAGCTTATGAATGGTCCATGAGCTTGATGCTTTTGCAGCAGGAAGGGCTTCAGATAATTTACCAGGATATTCTTGGGACTGCCTAACCGATTCCAAACAGAAACTATTTACAAAATTCGCTACTTCAATGCAACCAGCTTCAGTCAAGTTTCGATTACACCTCAGATGGGACAAAAAAGACGACACATCTTCTTCGCATTTAGTCAAATCGGCTACGTATTTATGCTCAACTTCAAGTGGAGATGCACTTGATGCAAGGAAATCACCCGATGCGCCGGTCTCAACAGAACTGACTTCTGCCTGAGCGGCAGACGCAGCCGGCCGTTCGATATCTTTCGGAATCCGACTGAACCCCGGACCACAGCGTGTAACGTGCTGTCTCCAATATCGCCAACTTGTATACTTTTTTGGACAAGTCTTGCAAGTCAGTACAAAACACTCATTGGCGTCATGTTTGTGGTCACGTATGTGAAGGGCATAGAGGCGGAACGTTCGAAACTGTTTCGGACAAAAATCACATTGGAAACTTCCAATTTTTCCTGAAAAGGAGAGAAGGCGTTGTAAAGATAAAGTGGCATACAAAAGGGGTGCTTGGGTGTTGGGTCCTTATTTGCGTCAAAATTAAGCCACTTTTATATAAAGCACATGTGCACATCTACCGACCAAGGCTATATTAGCCAGACAAAGCGTTCCGAGGCACTCGATGTTCTCCCATTTTTGAGCGTCCGAATAAGTTTTTTTTTTTACTATTTCCACGGAAACCCAATACCACAATACGCTTAGCGCAATGTAGTGTCGTGCCGTGAAACAAGGTCGGGGCCGGAAGTTCCGGGGCCACAAGGAAGTTCCGGGGCCACAAAAATCGGCGGAACGGTGTATTCGAGGCTGGCGGGCGTCAGCGAGGGCCGGGCAGCGGAGCAGCACGTGCCCCGGCACATAAGCCTCTTCTCGGAACACGCGGCGCAGAGCGCAGCAGGACAATGGGAATCGCTTGTCCGGGCACTGCTGGCACGTCTCGGAGGAGAGACGGCCGATCCGGTGCAGGTACTTGGAGCGAGCGGCCCCAGTGGCCCCGGCCCCGCCCTCACCTGATGTACCGAAACGGCGTCCTCTTCGTCCTCTCCGGGATAGGGAGCGGCGGCGTGCTCCCGAGTGGCTTGAATAGCGACTCGGACCAGTTGTCGCGCCATGGATGCTAGGCCGCACAATGAACCGCCCTAGTCAACGAGCGGGCGTTTGAGGGCGGGGCGGCCGCTTGTTTCACCAGTTCGTCCGCGCTCTCATTCACCCCGATACCGCAGTGGGCAGGAGCCCACTGCAGTACCTATTACTTTACGACGCTCGGCGATGTTCAAAATAAGGTTTTCCATATCAATTTCCGCCCCGAGGGTGGAGGCCTCAGCTGTGCGGCCGCTCCTCCGTTGAATAGACTCAGGGCGGCTCGCCAGTTCGAGCACACGACTGACGACGACCGGGGCGGAGACGTCTCGTCCCGAACCCTCTCCAGGGCCGCACACAGGGCGAACCTGCTGCTGGATTGACCAGCGTGCCGACTAAATTAGGTGAACGCCATTCGCCAAAAATTATGCAGCCGCCCTGCGCCGAAAAATTCGGCGACTGCCGCCATGCCTTGAATTCGGCGCATGCAAAGTTACGCCGGACGCGTGCTGAAATTTTCGGCGTAATCCCGAGACTGTGCCGGACATATTCGGCATAACGTGTATTTTTCCAGTCTGGCGGCTTCTTGTGCGGGAAATTGGAAAGATTATTCCAGTAGATCTCTCGACAACATTGGGTAGTTAAACCTATGATCCAAGTGGATCTCTCGACAACATTGATGGGTCAGATCTTGTGATCCCAGTATATATCTCTCGACAAAATTGAAGTGTTTAGTCTATGATATAAGTGGATCCCAGATCTAGATCCATGGGATCCTATCCCAGTTCTAGATCCATGGGATCGGATCTCATCCATTTTCCTGGATCCATGCACATGTCTACTTAATACAACATTATTTGTAATATATGTTGCAATGATGCGATAACCCTGGTCCAGGGTGTCATTTTCTGTAGGCCTGGATAGGGCACCAATTATTTAGAAACATAAGCATCATGTACAGGGGGCTGCATGGTAACAATCAATCTGTAGCTGTGGAAATTATTATTAGAGTCCTACCAATAATGTTCATTGACGCCAAGGATCTCTGGGCTGGTGTCGGGTACAATTGGCCTTTGACAATTTGCACATGCTTAGCCCAAACAGTGCAAAGCGGGCTTACCCATGCACAGACTGGTCAGAGTAGGGAATGTGACTACAACAAAAATCAGTTGAATTATACAATATAGACATGATTTGATAGAAGACCTTTTTCTTAGTATGTGTGTAATGGATAAAAGCTAATCTGTGCATTATTTATCTCCAATATTTTTATAAATAACAATTATCACCACCCAGCATCATTGTATGTAGGTTAGGTTAGTTTAGGTTAGGTTAGGTTGTAGGTTGATTGATGGTAGGTAGTAGGTTGTGGGTAGGTAAGGTCAGGTTAGATTGTTTTGTTATATTATTTACTGAGAAAAGATGCTATTGAGACATGGCTATACCGTTATATTTTGTAAGTAGTATTTGGGTTTTGATATTTTCTGGTGAACCACATTGCAAATGCTAGGTCACATTGCACTTTCACCCACAGCCCAATTGGGGCCCATTCGGGCATTGTTGACTGGGATGTTTACCTATAACTGCCATGGTATTGTTCCTCACACTGGATTTCGTGCAGACCCCTAATAAATTTGGCTTACATTTATGCTGTAGGAAAAAATGCTGATTTGGTAGCAAATTACTCAAATTTTGGCATTTGCCATATTTTCGTAGCAGAACTCACTGTTACCATAGCGCTGCATTTCATATTCTGGATTGAGATAATCGAATCAATCAAGCAAAAAAAACTCAGTTTGTGGCTAAAACACCTTTGGATACAACTATGACAAGTATAATGTTTCCCCATCTAGTAGCATTGTTCCAAACCACAACTAAAGAAGTAAAAAGTTGTCCACCCAAGCCACTGATGCTGTTGGCATGATTCTTCAATGGTTGTCGTATTTTCATGATTTTCCTGGATAGCTGCCTTAGTTTTACCGCAGTTAATACCACACTGGGAAAATACAAGCTATGCTGAATATGTCCGGCGTACTGCATGGTGGTGAGATTGCACCAGAAATTTCAGTGCATGTCCCGAGTAACTTCATGTGCGCCGAATTCAACGCATGGTGGCTGCTGAATTATTTGGTGCATGGAGGCCAGATGTTAAAGTGGCTTAATTTTGACACAAGTACCTAGGTACCAGAGCTTAGAAACAAATCATGCAAAGATTTCAGCTCAAAATCGCGTACCTACATGCGCCAAATTTCAGTGCATGAGGGTCTCATTGCATCTGGCGTAATGTATGGATGTTTTCCAGGCTGGAGTTTATATACATTTTGCAACATTTGGACACATGCTATAAAAAACAGTTTCTGAAATTTGGCAATATTTCAGTAGGCGGAACTATGGTCAAGCGTACCCATTTTCGGGAACGCATTTTCGTTCCCATGTTTGGGAACGATAAACCCAAATATGGGAACGCCATGTAGGCATTATTTAAAACAAGAAAAAGAACTGTTAAATGACGTCCAAAAAATATAAAACGATCGTGAACCGCCTGATAGTTGTCTCAATATTGTTGGGAAAGAGTTTGATATTGTAAGGCCCATCGTAGTTTCAAATCGTTCCCCTATTTCTAAAGCAGTCCATCACCCGGGCCGCGAGCCCAAATTTGGGAACGCTGTCGTACACTGGCGCTGCAAGCGTTCCTTATTATGGGAACGGCGTACCCAAAATTGGGAACGATTTCACCGACGCCTTTCAGGGGCTCTTTTCATTAACAAGCATCACGTCCAACGCCGCAAATTATTGTTAACGCAACAATCATCAGATGACCTTTCCGGCAAGACCGTTGCATGTTTCGCCCGGTCTTCTGCGCTTTTATTCCCGTCGATCTCGCAGCGGGCACGCCCCCCTCTGCAGGATTACGTAATCCACAACGCTCAGCGATGTTCAACAAGGTCTTCCATACCTATATCCACCGTCCGCGCCGAGGGTGGAGACATGTCAAGCACCTGTCTGCTAATCACCGAGAGTTGACGAGCACAAGAAGTATCCAAAAATGGGAACGCTGAATATGTTACACCCTCAAAACACCTAGTCCCAATGAAAATCTAGTTTTTTCCTTTCTTAATGAGTGTAAGTGGCAAAAGGCCTGGTAGGATGGGCACGACGTATGATCGAAATCAGCATAAAAATTATAAATAAGCCACACAGAGCGACCTATATCAGAGAAATTCCCCCAACCGATCATGCTTAGAAACGCCGAAGACAAAAACCACGCTCATGACACTGCTTATAAAACAACGCTAAACAGCTAGCATCCAAATAAAATATGTCTTTCAGGGCTGATAAAATACAGCTGAATGATTTTAAACCACTGAAACTGAGTTTACAACAGTAGTTCGGTAAAATCACTGACGTTCCACGCGGTCGATCGCCCCGACACCAAATGTCAACAATATTACCTCGGGACTGTCCGCGTGTTCGCTTGCATATGTCATCATCTGGTGTCGCTAGAATGAAACTTCATAACCAGGCGAAAATTATTATACTTGACCTCAAAATGTAAAAAATGCTTCATTTTCCTTAAACTTGCATGTTAAATGTCGTATAACCCATATTTCCACCATTCTGTCATTTTTAAAAAATCATTAAAAATATCATTCCACGGTCAATTTCCTTGTTCCACGGTCAGATTAAAGATAACTTTATGGAGATTTAGTAGATACTTAAATCAGCGTGCACTTTTTTGAGACGTGATGCACTTTTGAGTTTTAGTGGGCGAACGGCCGAAAAATTGCCTTCCGTTCTCATAAATGGGAACGCCCGTTCCCATATTTGGGAACTCCGTTCCCAAAAATGGGAACGTTCCTATATTTGGGTACTCATGACCATAGTTCCGCCTACTGATTTCACCTAGATTTGAATGCCACAAACTGAGGTATTTTGCTAGAGTTAATGAAATTGCTACAGTAACTGAACTGCTATTTACAAACTGAGTTTTTTGCTACAGAGGCTAGTTTTACCAACAGAAAAATAGCCGCCTGCCAGAATTTTTTGCCTAAAGGCAGCTTAACGGTCTTTAGGCAAAATATTCTGGCAGGCTGCTATTTTTCTGCTGGTAAAACTGGCCTCAGAAGTACAGAAAAAGGAACAAGAAAGCATTAGGTATACCCCAATTAATTTCCTCATCAAGTTCATTCCATTTCATATTTGTAACATCAAATCGCGCTGTAAACCAAATTTGCAGTGGTTGCGGGGTTATTAGCATATCCACAAAAGCAGCGTTTTTCTTTTAAACATTGAAACCACACATGTCCAATACCTATATCCTTACTGAACATCACCCCAAAATAGCACACTGCACATGCAGTAAAACTACTTCAACTTACCTTTTTCCATTCACCGCAGCGCAGTACCGGCACTCGGCAGAATATCCCACCACAATATGGCGACACAACGCTTCTGTGAAGAGATGACGCCGAACTTTGCGCGCGAAAATAAAACCCCCTCAAAGTTTATTGCTAGGCCTATTACAAGTTTTCCTGTTGATGATAAACCCCAAACCCAGCTCTCAGCAGTTCTACTGGCTTTTGTTTAAACTCTTTTCAATGATGCAAAAAAGAGACTTAAAGAAAGACTTTTTGTCGGTTTAAAAATGACGTCATTGGTTTAAAATTGGTTTGAGATCAATCGTTCCAGGAATATCGATAAACTCGCATGTGCACTATCAATTGTGTAGGTTGTTAAAGGTTTTTTTATAAAACTCGAAATATTTTTTCAAACCCATAGCAATTCTTCTAAAAAAGCAAGACTGCTAGCGAGCATAATTGGAAACTAAAAACTGGTCTAAGTGGACTAAAGCTGAACCTTTTTCCAAAAGGTTCTAGCACAGCATTTTCAGTGTACCTACCTCAGTGACATAAAGTCATTTCGGAATTCGGCTCCGTAATATGGCTGACGATTTTGTGAAAGTGAAATATTCTTTTGTTGTTTACCTTCATCCTTTGGAAAAGAAACAATGGATACCGGTAAGATGATTGGAATATAAATCGCTTTTGATGGCAATTGAGCAAACCTAGTAGCAACACAACTGACCTCGCCTTTATCACGACTATCATAAATTACCTACCTACCCATATTGTGTTCTGCATTTTACAAATATCCGTCGATACTTGATTTCATCAATCAGGAGGTTATTTCTCAGATCAAGACGAACCTTTGCTAATCTGACTGTTACGTTCACCTCAGCATGTCTGTCTTCTCAATCTGTATCTTTGGAGGCGCTTAATAGGCACAGAAATACTGCGGTTGGAGAATATGGCGACAAGGCTGTTTGCAGAGAAATGACATGATCCCAGATCCTTTTCAGCACTTCCTCCCTTATGTGTGTAAATTGTAATTAAATGTCTTCGACCCCGTTCCTCATGATGACGCATGGCTTTACGTCCATGTGGTTGCTTCTGATAAGGGATAAAATGTCATTTGCGTATGCCAAATTATAGTTTCCCGAAAGTCAAAAGTCGCTGCAGTTAATGCCGCGGAGAAGGACTGCACAGCATAGCTTGGGAAGGATGTAAATAAAGCTGAATGCTGAATGCTTAAAGCTGAATGCATACTACCAAAAATTTATTCTAAGATGGTACAATAATGACGCGGGGCATCATTCTAATAAAATCGTTTCTGGCAAGTGTGTTATTATAGTTCGTTTTTTTTTTTTCAAAAGGACGCTGGCTCAAAGTGCAATATCGAAGCTCTCACGTGAGTTTTGGCAGCTTCAGTGTCTCGCCAAGAATTTCTTACCGAAAAAATAATCGATTTCAAATTGTGCACGGTAAGTAGCTGGAAATTGTTTCTTAAAAATGAACATATTATGATGACGTCACTTGTGGCAGCAGGCACCCAAATGTCCGTGCAATGGGACAAGTGTCAACGAATTTGGGTGAAGCTTAGTTTTTCACTGTTGCCGAGCATAATCGAATAAGCGGTTCCGTCCATGATAGTTATGCGTTACATTGCAATACATGCTCGACAGCATGACGTCACCACTGTTCCGATATCTGGTTCCAAAACGCACATATGGAAATTATCGGGAAGAAATCACATGTTAAAATTAGTCGACGTTCGATTTTCTCAGGTTCAGTTTTTGCTCGTTTTGGCGGCTAAAACACGTGCTTGCTCGAAAAACATACTTGGAGCCAGCGTCCTTTTGAAAAAAAAACGAACTATAGTGATCTTTACATAGGAATTGTGCAAGTTATTAGACCTTCCCAGAAATTCTCTGCGTCCAATATAAATGTTCTGGAAATACCAAAATGTCGGTTTTTAATACAGCATTACTTTAAAACCCTTTATTATTCATGATCGTTACATGTATTATAAGGTCGTGACTTCACTCATTTACTCGCATTTATGATTTAAACCTCGCCCTGGCAAGTGGCGTGGCAAGGCATTTTCCATTACGCGGCCTGGCAGGGGGGGGGGTCGATGCGACCCCATGGCCTTGAAAACTAAGCGTCGTAGCGCTTTGCAACAAAGACCAGTCGATTGCTGGCAGCGAGTACTCGCAATTGATGCTAAATTGTTTAACCCTAGGTCTATATTTGACCCAGTTATGGTAGGTCAAAGGTCAAATTTCGGGGAAAAGCTATAATTTTCCAAGTTACTTAACCAATACTGGCCAATCATGAAAGATAGCAAGATGAAACTTTCACGACCATGTTTCTCAACGAATTAGGAACAAAATTATATATAGTTGACCGCCTTTCAGTCATTACTGGCGTGACGTAGTTCCCGGGAACACGGGAGGTCACACACGCCACTGGCGAGGACGGCCCTTGACCTGAGTTGACCTTGCAAAGGTTAAGGAACAGTTTTGAATGCGTTTAGGTGAAAATTGAACCACAGATTCGTATTCAGGACCTCAAGAAATCCCACCAAACACACCGCATATCACAAAAGTCTTCATGTGAACATGCGAGATCACTGACCTTAGTTGACCTTAGAAAAGTCAATATGCAATAGAAAGGTTCATGTCCTGTCAAAATGTGATATAAACACACAAAATAGTTCGTTCTTGTCGATGAGATCACGTCCAGTTACGCGGAATGTACATACGATTTTGTCAAAAAACGGTCGGACTACCTGTTATGACGTCATAGCTCGGTGACCTGGCATGAACCGAACATTTTTTTAATCAAAAGTTGCGCAAAGGATGCTCCATAGGCTCTTGAAAATTTCAGCACGATTGGACTAATGGTTCGGCGCCCATCGCAAAAAAACCTCGGGTGGGGGAGAGGGGGGGGGGTCGCGTCGACCCCTCCCCCTGCCAAGGCGAGGGTTAAAGCCGACCCCCTCCCCCTGCCAGGGCGAGGGTTAAAGCATATCCGTTTATATCGGATTTTTTTTTAGGGACAAGAGTTTTCGGCAACAATGTTTGCCAGAAAATTAATTTGTATTGTTGATTCCTTAACAATGGCGTAGTGAAATCTAGTGACACGGATGCTATGCAGTCTGCTAATTATCAGCTGCGCACGTCCGCTACGTTTTGGTCAGCCTGGCAAATTGGTTTGTATCGCGTTGCCGTGTGGGCGTTGTCACCGGCTGGCAGCGGGTGTCCACTCGCCGTTCCAGTTCCGTCCGCCGCCTGGCGTTCAGCACCAGCGGTAGTGACGTCAATGTGTGGCTCCACTGGGGCCGCTATCACTATCGGGAGACGGTGCATTGCGACCGGGCATAGGGTGCGCAGCTCCAAAGCACACTGGTATACGCCAGTCATGAGTCAGTCACCATTTACCGGAAGAGAATTTTGCTCGATAAAGCCTTGCAGAACATACACTGTTAACCGTCAAACAAGTGCATTGAAAATAACGCTTGCGCGTTAAAATGTGAATAATGGGTCCAATGTTTTGTAGGTTGATAGGCATGTGTAACAATTTATTTTCCGAGGGCTAAGAAGAAGAAATCGGATAAAGCACTGCGAATTGAGTCAAATCAGCAGTAGCGTGAATGTCGCATTCCGTCCCCGGTCCTGCAGTGTCCCGTGCTGTTCCGTGCCATATTCCCAGCGCCGCTCTGACTGTCTGTCCCTCTCCCCGGCAGCACCTGCCCGGCATGCTGTGGCGCTGGCGGACGGCCGTGGTGACGGTGGCGCTGCTCTGCCTGCTGCTGCAGCTGATGGTGCTGCAGACGTCGCCGGACACGGTGCGGCACGGCCGCCGCCCCGCCTGGGTGGACCCGTCGCCAGCGATGGGCGATGAGAGGTCGCCGAGGGCCGCCGCGCTGCGGCAGCCGGGCCGAGCGGCGCTGCCTGACCCGCCCGGGCCCAGCGCGGCGCCGGCAGCGGTCGGGCCCGACCCGGCCATGGTGCCCGCCCAGCGCATCATCCACCTGGACCTGAAGGGCGCACCGCCTACGGTCGACTACCTGGTCAGCCTGCTCCCGATGATGCGACGTCTCGGCGCCACCGGTCTGCTGATCGAGTGGGAGGATATGTTTCCGTTCTGGGGACCGCTGCGCGCGGCCGCCGCCCGAAACCACTACAGTCGCGCTGATGTGCGCCGACTGCTGTCAGAGGCACGTCGCCATGACCTGGACGTGATCCCGCTGGTGCAGACGTTCGGACACCTGGAGCCGTTCCTGAAGCTGCGCCAGTTCGCGCACCTGCGCGAGCTACCCGCCCAGCCGGCGGCGCTTTGCCCCTCCCGTAACGAGTCCCTCCGCCTCGTGGAGCAGATCGTCGACCAGGTGATGAAGATGCACGCTGGCGCACCGCTGCTGCACATCGGCTGCGACGAGGTGTACCACATGGGTCTCTGCGAGCTCTGCCAGCGGCGGCTCAGAGACGACCTCTACCTGGAGCACGTAGCCACCGTGGCGCGCTACGTGCGAGACCGGCACGGCGCCAAGGCGCTCATCTGGGACGACATGATGCGTCACATCCCGGTGGAGACGCTGCGCCGCTCCGGTATCGGCGAGCTGGTAGATCCGATGGTCTGGGTGTACGCCGAGGACGTGGACCGTTTCGCCGACCCGCAGATCTACAGCACGTTCGCCGAGGTGTTCCCGCGCGCCTGGGCGGCCAGCGCGTACAAGGGCGCGTTCGGCGAGACGCTGACGGTGCCGCCGCTGCAGCGTCACCTGGACAACACGCTCAACTGGCTGCGCGTCATCCGGCGGGAGACGCCCCGATTCCGCGACGGCTTCGGCGGCCTGGTGCTGACCGGCTGGCAACGCTACGACCACATGGCCGTGCTATGTGAGCTACTACCCGCCTCTGTGCCCTCTCTGGCGCTCAACCTGGCTACAGCGTCACACGGCTTCTTCAACAGCTCGCTGCGCCGGGTGCTGTATGACGCGCTCAGCTGTCACTCGCAGGGCACGTTCATCACGCCGAGCTCCGACCAGTACGGGTTCTACGCTTTCTCGCAGTGCGACTTCCCTGGACACATGTTCTATGAGTTCACCGGCCGTATGCCCGGCATCGAGATGCAGGCCCGCTCGGCCATCGAGGACGTCCGCAAGAAAGGCTGGCTCACCGAGTACAGCGTGGCGCGCAACTACACCAACCCGTTCCGGGTGGACGAGGTACTGGAGCCGCTCTACAGCGCCGACTACCACCTGTCGCGCGCCGCCATCGACGTGCGCGACGCGCTGTCCGGCGTCATGGACCGGTTCACGGTGGCCGAGTGGGTCGAGCAGAAGCTCTACCCGTGGATGCGGCGCATCGAGGCGCTGCGCCGGGAGGGCGAGGCGGTGAAGAAGCGCTCCGAGTGGCCGGCGCGGCCGCTGCCCATGCTCCGGGAGCTGGCCAGGTTCGGACTGGATGTCACCGAGGACCAGACAAAGGACGGGACTGCGGACTCGCCGGACGGCGCCCAGCTGAACGACAACGGTCTGAGCGATACTGTCCGGCTGAGCAAGCGGGAGGTGGGCCCCGCGATCCAGCCAAACAGAGATGAGAATGTAGATAATGCGGAGAGACAGGAACTTAGAGAGGCTGGCGAAAAGCATGAAGTAGACGGTATCGCCGTCCATCAAAGCGATCGATCGAATACGGCGGACGTGGATGGTTCGAAGAGACGGAGTGAAGTTGAAGCTAACATGACAAAGGATCTGAAGGAGGAGGTCGTCGACAAGCAGGCTGTGCTCGGAGAGGATGCTGTTCAACCAGGAGAGCTAGGTTCTGCAGTGGATCGTCAACATGATCAGTCTCCGCAGCAGGCGCCGGCTGTGCTGGCAGCATAGTAGCCTGTTCTATGCTCGCAACGAGCATATGAGCCCTGTGAGGGGGATACAATGTTGGCAGCACATGCTGCGCTTTTGTCAAGAGGCGGCGTTTAAAGCTGTGGAGTCTACATGTGGCATTGGCGACTGTCCACATGTTTTTCGCGCCACTGTACGCAGGTGGCGCTATGTCTGCGATAGGTACTCTGAGGTGGTGTTTCCGGCCGTACGAGCTCGGACTAGCACAAGCGGTCCTGTGACGTGTGACTGTGCTGTCTGAGGGGAATCCAGGGTGGCTAGATTTTGAGTCGTAACGGGGACCTGTCCCGCGGATGTGGGACCTTGTGTGGGTATATAGGGTCTTGTGTGGGACTATGGTGGGCTGACTCAGAACGCGCACTGAGACTATTACATGCTTTACAGTCTCCACTTTATGGTGGAAGCAATTACATCAGTCAGCCCAATTTTAGGGGTAACTAATCTATTCTAGAGTGACGTGCGGAAGTAACAACTCACAACAGTGCGCTACAACACGAGGCGTTATCCGTCGGCTGTCTGCCAGCTATATGAGGCATTTGCACTGCTATTGCGTCACGACTTTTGCTGTAGCGGCCTTGTGGCGTCAATGAGATTGTGAGATTTGTGAGCGTTGCGCCACCAGGAAGGCAGACTTGTGCCAAGGTCCCAAAAAGATCCGAGATCCAGGGTTCGCAGAGTCCAAGGTCTGGGACCTTGATGGATTCTGGACCTTGCACTGTCATTTTTGTCGCGAGACCTTGGAAACCCAGGACCTTAAAACATCCATATGCCGCGAGACCTTGGAATCCCAGGACCTTAAAACATCCATATGCCGCGAGACCTTGGAATCCCAGGACCTCAACATTTGCATATGTCGCGAGACCTTGGAATCCCAGGACCTCAACATTTGCATATGCCGTGAGACCTTGGAATCCCAGGACATCAACATTTCATGTGACATGAGACCTTAGAAACCCAGGACCTCAACATTACATATGCCGTTAAACCATGGAAACCCAGGGGTTAGGACCTCAAAATTTTGGTATGCTGCAAGACCCTGCAGAATGCAGACCTTCAGTACCAGTTTTATTATTTGTCATGGGATCTTAGGAGAACGGTCTGGACCTACACCACCATTTTGTTGAGGGACCTCAAGAATCCTGAAGCTGGACCATGAGGTTTATGTTGCACATGGGCCACTAAGGACCCTGCACTAGGTTTTGTCTGTAAGCACTTCAATAAATATCTATGGTTGAGCGACCAGCTGCAAGGGGCTAGATAGCTACACGAAGAGAAAACGAACCAGACTGTGTAGACATATATAGAGCAAAATCATTGCCATGGTTGTGAGGCAGAACTGGAACAAGAGACCTGGTAGCTTTTTACATTATCAATGTTATGGATTATGAAACTGTCAAACTGAAACAGTGGACAGTGCACTGTGGGGACTTTGTCCATCCTAGCACGACTTAATTCATATCGCACCCTACGCTACTTTTACAAGCTTTACTAGATGGCATGTTTTGCGCTATAACTGTACGTTTTGATAGATGCGTTTGAGGGGGCATTAGTTTGGGTGTGGGAACTTATGATTTTTATTTGTCTTATTTTGTCGGAGTCGGATATTTGTTTGAACGGCATGGTATGCTGGTGCTGGTTGCGGGCTGTTAGAGCCTTTCTCATGGTTTGCCTTTATCGAACTCAAACCCACCCTACCCTACCCTAACCTACCCATACCCTACCTTACTGATAACACATAGTTACCCTTCTCATACTCGATTAAAGTGACGTACCAAATTTGAGCGCAATCGGCCAAGCCGTTCTTGAGATATACAACTGGCCCACTGCACGTGCGCACGCGCTAGCTGAGACTCCAGATGACTTGTGCCAGCCACCTTTCTAAATTGTCCCCAACAGTGAACAAAATTTGAGCGAAATCGGCCCAGCCGTTCTTGAGATGTAGAAGCGGACCCCTCACGTGCGCACGTGCAGTCGATCCACTCTACCTGTGACAAACGACCATGCATCGCCAGGTGAGTGCCCCCTCCACCCACAGTCCAAGTTTCAGCGCAATCGGCCCAGTAGTAGCTGAGTTATTCCTAGTACAATAATGTGCTGTTTACTGGTAGGCGCTTATTTTCAGTGTTTGGAATTCCCCTTTGCGGGCGGTGCATTGCAGCCCATGCCTTGCTAGCTATTGTCAAAAGTTGAATGGCCTGCCTGCCGAAGCCACCGATTCGATTTCGCCGAAAAATACCCGTAACGTTAACAAAACACGGTCGTATGTTTGAGTCATTTTCACAAAAGTTTATTGACTTTTCGATAATATTTTGGGTGGATATTGGTCAGAAAAGAATGGTCTTTCCGAATATGTAGGTTTCATAGCCATTGGTCAGCGTTTTCAATACGCTTTGATGTTGTAAAGGACATCGCGCTCCGCGCGAAATAAATTTTCCAATTAATGTTTCATTATTAAGGAAATGGTACGGATCATCGCTTTTTATCTGCTATCCTCTGATTACACGTACATTTGCCTGCAAAATGGCACCACACCGATTTCATTCCGTCAAGCCGTTTTCCAGCGGCATCGATTTTCCCGTCACAATGCACGAAATCGGTCATTTTTTCACAACCGGGGATGCTGTCTTGCACGTGGCGCGTGCTACACTATGAAACCATATCAATACGCTAGGCCCATCTCTCCGCTATCCATTGGTGGCAACCGCTTTTCACTGCGTCCACCCATTGCCGAGATATCAAGCCGGAAAGCGAGCCATGCCGGCCCGATTTTCGGCCGACCGCCGCTCTCGCCGACACCATGCTATCCCTATGAGAGCGCCCTTTTGCACGTGCCGACGGCGCACCCCTGGCCCGATCACGCCCAAATTTTGATACAAAGGCCGCCCACGCCCACAGATTCGGCATGCCAAATTTCACGCCGATACGCGGCGCCTTTCAGGCGCAATAAGACACATAAGTCATGACGGATTACGCACGCACAGACAACTTATAATTCATAATATAGACTAGATGGCATATTTTGCGCTATAACTGTGCGTTTTGATAGATGCATTTGACGGGGCAATTGTTTGGGTGTGGGATCTTATGATTTTTATTTGTCTGATTTTGTCGGAGTTGGATATTTGTTTGAACGGCATGGTATGCTGGTGCTGGTTGCGGGTTGTTGGAGCCTTTCTCGTGGTTTGCCTTTATCGAACTCAAACCCACCCTACCCTACCTTTACCTACCCCCTACCTTACTAATAACCTACACATAGTTACCCTTCTCATACTTGATTAAAGTAACGTACCAAATTTGAGCGCAATCGGCCCAGCCGTTCTTGAGATATAAAAGCGGCCCGCTGCACGTGCGCACGCGCTAACTGAGACTCCAGATGACTTATGCCAGCCACTTTTCTAAATTGTCCCCAACAGTGTACAAAATTTGAGCGAAATCGGCCCAGCCGTTCTTGAGATGTATAGATGTCGGTCAATTTCATACATGAACTTGAAAAGTTCATGACCTTGACTTTCATAAGTTTTGATATATGACCTGTTTCTCCCGACCAGGCTAGGCTGCTATCGATTTGGCGCATGTGAGCGCACATTATCGGCGCTTGTTGTGGTTGCTAACGCTCCAAATATTAAATGCTGTTTGTTCCTGGCATTTTTAAGGTCATGTGAAGGTTAGGTCGAGGTCATTTAGCTTAGATGACCTTAGTTAACCTTTCCGAGTAAGCATTTTTCGAGATGAGTGCTTGGAGATAATTTCGAATTTAACACCCGTTAAAACCTTTAATAAGAAGTTTTGGTGCTTTCGTAACCTGTTACGAAGCCATTAGTAGTGATTGACACCTGCCTACTATGGATAGGCGGCAGGGCACCTAATCGTCGGGCCTAGCCTGACCCGACCTTGCATGAAAAAGATCATCATTGATCAAAACTAACATGAAATTCGTGATCACCACCCCCAAAACCTACACCCCCACTTGACGAAGTTATATCAGTTTTCGATTTGCCTATATCAAAGCTCTATAACTGAAGCTTCATAAGGTGAACATTGACTGGGAGCCAGTAATGTAGACGCAGCGTTGCAACAGCGTTGTTGTTTTATCCAAAAACAATATTTGTCGATGGAAAATAGCAAGGTCAACATGGTAATGGTATCACCCCCTCCCTCCCTCCTCCCAACCCCTAATGACCGGAAACCCCCCAGGCGGTGTGCCGCGGTCGGGTAACCCGCCGCGGCGTGGCCCGGCGGGGCGTAAGAAACCACGCGTCACCGTCTGCTTTGACGCCTCATAGTGACTGATTTAGGCAAATTTCGGCAAAAAATGAGAGTTGCTCCCGGTGCAGAAATTATTGGAGAACATTTTGATATGTGTTTCCACGCGTACCACCGCGTATCAAACTTTGTAGGGTAACAGTTTGCTGATTCAACTCCCGGAATCAAATGCATTATAACATTTTTAAATTTTAGCATTTCCCTCGAAAATGATACCTTTGGTTGATTTTTGGAAATTTTCGTGTATTCCATCATCTTTCTCATTAAAAAGAGATAATGAAAACATATCGCAACTTTAAGCTGCTGTTCAGGGAAACGAGTGAGCGGGCGTTTCATTGTCATGTGCTTTTTCGCTATATCCGGGAAGCAGGATGCTGGTCAGCGCAATGCTACACTTTGAGAGGTGTTTTGAGGTGTAAGCAATCGTTTTTGAAAGGATTTTTTGTCGGGTATGGATGCGCTGGGCAATTCTACGTGAAATGGATGACCAAAAAGTGGATATCAAAATGCTCGTATTTGCCACTTATGTCGTGCTAGGATGGCATAAGTCCCCACGGTGCAGTGGTGGTTTGGAAAGTTCTTTTCTAATCTCACCTCACATATTTTCTGGGTTGTGATATGCCGGGCTTGAAGCTATTTGGAAGCTACCCACTGACCAAGTAAGTGTCAAACTTATTTGTTTTGCAATTCATCAAATCACCATTGAGCAAGCAATGAGCAAAATATAAGCAATCATTCCACGACAGTTCAACTTTTTCGTTTAGCAGGTTTTCGTCTGACAATTTTTCGTCTGCAGATATTCGTCCGCAGACTTTCGTCTATGCATTTGTTCATCTGTGCATTATCGCCGCGCATTATTTTCATAAGGACATTTTCCGCCTCGTCCAGACGAAAAAATGCCGGACAGAAAAATACTCAGACGAAAAATTCACCAAATTAATTCGAACAGACGAAAAAATGCAAGACGAAAAAGTCAGACGAAAATCTGCCGACGAATAACCGGCTGACGAAAAAATTGTCAGATGGAATTTTGTTCAGAGCCTTCAATCTAATGTGAATGAACAGTAAGTAAGGTTTGCGCTCGCTGATACTCTAATTCTATTGGCTTAGTCGATCAGTTTTTCTGTGAGCGCACGCGCAAACAAGACTTAGAACATATTTTACTTTTTATCCTAGGTATTATGTAACTGAACGTGCAGAAAATCGAAAGCATATACCCATCCAATTCAACTTTTCCATTTCTATGAAGCCTGTAGGTTTTATTTCTGGCTTTTTTATATTGCCTGAAAGAATACTTGAATGTCTCTCTTCAATAACTGTAAGGTGCTATCCTACATTCCTACTGATAAGGTAAGAATGAATTGAAAGGGACATGACAATACAAATTGCAAGGTACCTATTACCTACCTATATTTTTTACGAATTTGTCAGGTTAAAGAAGGAGAGATTGATATTATGATTCATTGTTAACTTGTGTTGAAGCTCCCCCTACCTATGTTGGTTAACGATAAAACCACCACAGTCCACAGGTTTGCATAGGTTCTGCCCCTTTAAATGTTGCTGGGCATCCATTGGCAGAATATTTAGAAGTAAGTCTGCTCATCAGAATGTTAGTTTGTTTAAGTTCTTGTTGTGGGACCCTGAATACTTTGGATCCTGAGATGTATTCTTGCCGTGGGACCTTGAGGACTGTGGACCCTGAACTCTGAAGTGTGTACTTGTCATGGGACCTTGGGGACTGTGGATCCTGAAATTCACACTTGTCGTGGGACCCTAGGGACTGTGGATCCTGCAATGCATTCTTGTCGTGGGACCTTGGGGAGTGTTGATCCTGCAATGCATTCTTGTCGTGGGACCTTGGGGACTGTGGACCCTGCAAAGTATACTTGCTATGGGACCTTGGAAACCTTGGATTCTAGAAATTGAATTTGCCGTGGGACCTTGGAAACCTTGGATTCTAGAAATTGAATTTGCCGTGGGACCTTGGAAACCTTGATTCTAGAAATTGAATTTGCCGTGGGACCTTGGAAACCTTGGATTCTAGAAATTGAACTTGCCGTTGGACCTTGGAAACCTTGGATTCTAAAAATTGAATTTGCCGTTGGACCTTGAGGATCCTGGATCTTGATTTTTGGTCCCGGCACAAGTCTGCAGGAAGGTGTGTCAGTTTCTGTTGAATCGAGGCTACATGTATGGCCAGGTGGTGGATTCCTCACTCCCCTATGGGTCATGTGATGTTCGGGTCTCCCCAGAGGTCACCTGTTGTGGCCAGAGAGTGGTGTACATTGTACATATTACGGGACATACTGCCCACTACGAGTGTCGCATTATGCGGTTTTCCACGCATCATCAAACACCGCATACGATATCGTAAATGCCTGTGTGATTGGCGCCATCAAAACATTCATAAACACTACAAAGGACTCATATTATAGTGCTTATACACATTTTCTCAATTGTTTTCATGAATATGAATCGTTAATATGCACACGAATGGAATACGAAAGATCACGTACCTATATCAAATGAATCATGCCTTGTAACCCGCGCCGGCCCTGGTGGGGTCTGTTTATAACGCAACCTGGGCCTCGTTTCATAAAACTCTGCCGTAACTTACACCTTTCCGTAATTCACACCCTTTTAAACTACGGAGCGCAAATGAAGCGGTTTCACAAAGCCACAACTGGAATTGTTTACACCTCCGTAACTAAGCACATTTTGCGTAGTTCCCGTAATTTATCATGCGTCCTACAAATTACAATTTCGTGTCAACACTTATTTTTTACGAGAAATTATAAAACAATTATGTTGAATTTTAATCTTAAAAATTATTTATGAAAAAAACAAAAATGATATTGATGACCATCCTTTATTAAATCAATATATTGAAAACAGCAGAAAGCCAGCTAAGCAGAAGTGCCTTACTACGAAAGTGGCGCGGCGCGGCGTATAAACAAAATTCTGATAGCTGCCACAAAAAGCGACTGGTACAGAAGATTTGCAGCTTCTTTTTCTCATTTTGGCTGTTCTTTCTTCCTCACCGGGCTCAACATTATAAAATATATTAAAAATTAGCTTCGAATCTTCACATTGATTCAAATTCACGCAACATTTTTGTGCGTAGTTTACACCACTGATATCAAGAACTTGATAAAATATTTGGCGTTAGTTACGTCGTTTTATGAAACCCAAATGGCATCAATTGGTCCGGATTCGAGCATTTGCCGTAAATGAAGCTCCGTAATTTCGATGGCGTGAATTACTCCGGTCTCCGGCTTTATGAAACCGAATTGGCATCAAATACGCCAAATCTGGCATAATTGACGGAACGCCGTAAGTAATTCCTTTTATGAAACGAGGCCCTGGTGTGTGTGTGTGGGGGGGGGGGGCTATTCCCCCTCGTATCCTCCGAAACTACTGGACGGATCCACAAAATTCAAACGGCGTTCGAAAGCCCTGTCAAATTTGTCGCAGTAAATCCGATTTTATTGACCTCGGGATCACCGATGACGTCACAGGTCAGGTCAAAGATAAAATGTTTTGCCGGTCACGGGTCTTCTAGGGAATGCGCTATAACATCGCGAGTAAAACGTATTTTATCGAAAATCAGCGATAGGGCGTCAGTTGCCTAGTAGGTACATATGTTGCTATTAGAGGTCACTGACAGTACCAGGTCAGGTCACAGGTCAGGTCACCAAGGGTCAGCACATGAACCCAATTTTACTAGGGCTGTGTGATACATGTTTTCAAGCCATTTTTTCATTTCAAACTCAATGGTGTTGGTTATAAGACCATCAGGAACGGTTTAGGTTACTTCCTGGTGGAGGTCAGGTCAATGTCAGGTAAAAAAGATCAAATTTCAAAGTTGATATATTTGCATAAAATGGGCATTGATTCGATGCAGCTCGTCAGGGCGAGTCTAGTGGTGATCTTTGTTTTGCGTTACATAATCTAGAATTTCTAAAAAATGAGCTTGAAAATTTGACGTCATCAATTTCGAACATTTTTTTTCGCAATAACTTTGCCAAAAAAAGAGTTATCTTTCTGAAATCCGGTATGTGAATAGACGTCGGTAAGGGCTATCACATATATTCCTTTTTTAAAAAATCCAAAAACATTTCGGATTTTTGGCAATTACATTCAATTTCTTGTTTTATTTTTGGGGGTCACAATTCAAAAAGTTCACAATTCCGAGGTAGCAGTTTTGTAGCCCTGGTAATTCTAGACCTTTTATGTCTTAAATGTTTTTTTCTGTATCTTCAAAGCTGTAGGCCTGACAGCTCTTCCCGCGAAAACTTTTTTGGGTCGAAAACGACAGAACATGACGTTACTCTGACGTCATTTGCGGCCAACCTATCATAGCCTTTGGAATAATGTTTGGTCACAATGTGTAAATTTGATGCCCGGGAGGGTACTGAAAGTTTGGTGACGATCGATGCAGCGGTTCTGGAGATATATCGAAAAGTCTTGAGGGCGGGGGCAAAAAATACCCCCCCCCCCCACCAGGGCGCGGGCTTATTTCATGAATCATGTGTTGCCTGTGTGCATACAAATTTACATACCTAGCATTTTTAGAATTTCACTCCTTTCAAACTTTCCATAATTTCATGCAGCATACGACACAACATTTTTCGCCAATTGTGGTAGGTATGCCTCTTTAGCTTCGCCTCTTGCACTGAAAGAAAAAAATGACACCCTGTACGGGGTATTGACGGTCATGTCAAAAATAACACCCGAGTAGGGTGTTTTGAGGGGAGTCGCTGAGCTATTATAAATGGGGTGTTTGGCGTACACCCCAGGAGGGTTTCGACGCATAGTGGGGAGTCGCAGCCGCTAAAGGGGGGTCAGCGCCGGCCCACATGGGGTTCCGTTAGACTCCAGGTGACACCCCTCAAATATCAGCCGAGAACCCCTTTTTGGTCCCTAAGCACCCGACGGGGTATCAAACACACATTTCAGGATGTAAAAGACAACGGTTCAACTCCCCTGTTTTCCTGATATAACCACGTTTTTCCTGACCTCCACGCGGGTAATTACCAGTCTTCATGTAGCAGAGCAGCTCTACTCCCCCTTACTTATCCAAAATTCTAGATGAGAAATTGTTGTCTCTCGGAATGTTTTGTTTGTTTGTTTTGTTGGGTTAGGCCCTTTCGGTCGACAAGACCATTGCAGAGCCGGAAGGATGATAGGAATTAGGGGGAGACATTGGTCTGGGCAGGCACCCTAAAGAGTCGCCGGGGCTGAGCCCGTCCAAATGGACAGGCCGACCAGCCCCCCAAGCACTCTCTGCACCCGGCTACGGGGTGCAGCTCCCTCGGGAGCAGCGGTGCCGCTCCAAGGGAGCAGCCCGCATGAGATAAAGTTGCCTGTCCAGCCCGGAGGGGGGTTGCGGTGTTGGGGAGAAGGATTTCAGTATCTTGAGGATAGAAACACGGAACGGTGTCTCGGAATTGTTTGTTTGTTTTGTTGGGTTAGGCCCTTTCGGTCGACAAGACCATTGCAGAGCCGGAAGGATGATAGGAATTAGGGGGAGACATTGGTCTGGGCAGGCACCCTAGTGAGTCGCCGGGGCTGAACCCGTCCAGAGGACAGGCCACCCAGCCCCAAGGCACTCACTGCACCCGGCTACGGGGTGCGCTCCCTTAGGAGCAGCGGTGCCGCTCCAAGGGAGCAGCCCGCATGAGATAAAGTTGCCTGTCCAGCCCGGAGGGGGTTGCGGCGTGGAGGAGAAGGATTTCAGTATCCTGAGGATAGAAGCACGGATAGGTGTCTCGGATTTTCATTTTTTCATTTGTTTGGATTTGGGGCATTTCGGCCGAAGAGACCATTGCATGCCCTAATTTCTAGTCTGTTTTACATAAGCAATGTATAACTTGTTAATTACAACTTCTCGAATAAGCCTACATCTCGAAGGAAAGAGAAAAGAAGATCATGAACAGTGCGATCTGCGTCTCCGAGTATTGTTGCCAAAGTGAATGGAAGGCCATCGGTGTTACAGCTATCGATTAGTCGTTGTCGTTCTCTTTGGTAATTTGGACATTCGATGATGATATGTTGGACCGTGATAGAAGTGTGACATGTGTTGCATACTGGTCGATCATCCCGCGTGTATATATACTTGTGTGTTAACCCGCGCCGTGCTGGGGGGGGCGTTTTTACGCCCCCCCTCAGGTTTTTCGCGAATATCTCAAAAACGGCGGCGCGCAGCGCCGCCGTTTTTGGTACACGTGTTCCTACATCATTTCCGCACATGTTGTGAAAATTTCAGACCTAGGCCGTTCAAGGTCAGGTCACCAGGTCACGTCAAGTGACCTTACCTCAGAAAAAGTTCAAAGGCTCGCTATAGCAACACCGACTGAACGATCACTTTGAAACTTTCAGCGATTGATATGAGTAACAGTATGTATAAAATGTATATCTCGGATTTTTGATATCTGTGACCTAAGGTCAGGTCAATTTTGCGACCTCTCCATTATAAGTCAATGGGAGAAAATTGAAATGCGCCTCTTTTGGACGAATATCGTTCAAAACGCTCTCAAACATCGGTTCATAGGTAAACATGACACACTGAATAGGAAAAATGCACCTGTGACCCCTCTGTGTGCCCCTGAGGTCATCTCAGGTCATGAACGGTCGCCAGCAGTTTTTTGGCTATAACTTTTGATAGAGACGTGCTAGAGCGGTGAAAACACGTCAGATGTGTTCAGCTCGACGATACGGATCGACTGATATGCAACATGACCCTTTTCGGTCAGGTCATGACCTTGACCTGAGGTCAAATTTTCAAAATGACCTTTCAAGGTCAACAAATAGTTCATTCGACGCGTCTCGACGAGAGGAACACGATGCTGGCAAAAGTAATGTCATGGCGCTTATGAGTCAAAAGTTATTGACGAAAAAACGTTTTTCGTAAAAACGGCTATTTTTGGAGTTTTTGCCCTCTGGAGGCTAAACCGTTGACCTGAGGTCAAATCTGAGAACATTACTCAGAAAGGTCTGTAAAAGGGCTATCGAATGCGCTTTTCCGCGGCGCTGTAGCTCTATCGGTTCCCGAGATAGCCGTTGGCAGTTTCCAAAATGTTGAAATAGTCAACATTTTACCTTTGGTGACCTCTGGTGACCTGACCTTTGACCTGACCCAAAAAATGACCGGAGTGTTTTCGTCCTTATTTTTGACGCTCTTTCGATTGCCGCTTACCGCGTGTCGCTACGTGGCCCAGGAGCTCAGTTAGACGGGGGGGGCGTGAAAACGCCCCCCCCCCCCCCCAGCACTCGGCGGAAAGTTCAGGCCACCAGCACGGCGCGGGTTAAAAGTGTATGTCCTAGGCGCATACGTGCCAGGACCTTTTCCTCCTGCCTACTTTGCCTGTTTGAAGACTGCCACTCATTTACATCTAATTTAATGCGACGAAGTTGTGTTGCTCGTGTTGTTTCAGACCATTGTTTGTTCCATAATGCGAGAGTTTTTTGTCTTAAAGATGATTTAATGCATTGGTATTCAATGGGAATGTTTGTTATGTGAGCAAGAGCGAGGGCATTTTTCGCATATTTGTCAGCTT